GTTTTTTGCTTTTTTTTGGTTTTTGTTTTTCTGATGGAGTCTTGCTCTGCCCCAGGGCTGGAGTGGCAGTGGCGATCTTTGGTTCACTGAGCCGTCTGCTCCTGGTTAAGCAAGTCTCCTGCCTCAGCCTCCTGAGTAGCTGAGGATTATAGGCATGTGGCCACACACACCAGATAATTTTTGTTATTTTTAATAGAGACGGGTTTCACACCATGTTGGCCAGGGCTGGTCCTCAAACTCCTGACCTCGTCGATCCGCCTGACCTCGGCCCCAAAAGTGTTGGGATTACAGGCGTGAGCCACATGTGCCTGCCTTTGTTATCTGTTTACGTAGTGTCCCGCTGATCGCTGTGTTTGGGTTATAAATGAAAAGGAGTGTGTATTCATTTACTGTCACAGATGTGTTCTTCTGCAACATTTAAAAAAGATTTCTGTGTAAGGTGATGTATAAAGTTGTATCTTTAAGGGGGCCAAATTGAAGTCGTTTAGAAGCCAAGATGGGTTGCTAATTTTTGTTGTTCTCTGGGTTTTCTTGGCCCATGAAAATAAGCTGGTGTTTCTTTGGGAGAGTGCGGGGGTAAAAGCGCGAGGCGCCGGAGTTATTATTATTGCAGGTTTTCAAGTGCATTGTTTAGTAAGGAGGTTTTGACGCTTTAGTCGTGCGGTGTGTGTATGATGCTCCAGAATATCTCACTCCTGCGTATTGAGACAAAAATTTTTTCTTTCCCTTGAGGACAGAGTCTGTCTCTGACACCCAGGCTGGAGTGTCTAGTGTGGCGCGGGATCTCGGGCTTAGTCTCAGCTGCAACCTCCGGCCTCCCATGTTCAAGCGGATTCTGCCTCTCAGCCTCCCAAGTAGCTGGGAATAGGGGCATGCTTCACCACACGCCGTCATAATTTTTTGTTATTTGTAAGTAGAGATGGGATTTCAGCGGTGTTTCTAGCCAGGATGGTCTCGATCCTGCCTGACCTCATGATCCGCCCACTTCAGCCTCCAAAGTGCTTGGGCGGTTCAGGCGTAAGGCGCTGTGGCACATTTTATTTTGTGCATCGAAAAATGGTACTTTCTCTGTTGTTGTTTTTTTTTCTGTTTTTTTTTTTTGGTGTGTGCCTAGATAATGAATAAATGGGTAAATACGTGATAAAGTTAATGGTAGAATCTAGATGGTGGATCTTTACTATAAAATTCTTTTATCTGTTGCTTTATGTTTGAAATTTTTCCTGCTAAAATTCTGGGGGAAAGGGGAAGTGACTTATTTTTAAAAGCCAATAAGCTTGAAAACAGTTCAAAAACATGAGTTAATAAAACTTTTCTCAACAAGGATAGCACCCAATAAACAGTATTATCTCACATACAAATTACAAAAGACAACACATGGCAGTGTATTTTTTCCTGCAATGAAAAGCATATATCTATTTCATCACCCTATAGTCATACTTGGTATTAAAATTTGCTTTTCTCATTCAATACAATTTTAATTGAATCACAAGCAAAAATTTAACTATATTTTACTATTAATAACTGCACTGATCAACAAACGCACATTCATTTATATTTAATTGAAGAATTTAGGAATTACTGTCTCTGAAATTAACGTGGGCCACCCTTAACAGGTCAAAAATCTCTATAAGTATACATGTAAATCTACCACAGAATGGACCTGGGACCTTGGCCAGTGTGAACCTGGGAGGTAACTTCCATCCCTGGCTAACTCCCCTCTGAAGCCCTAAGGATTACCGTTCCTGTTTCCCTTTCCAGGCCATCAAGAGTCTCCCATTCTAAGTTTTAAAGATAATCACACTGTTTCCCCTAATCTTATCCCTAAAGCAAGTTCACACTCTTAGAATTTTTATCAATTTTTACTGCCTACACCAATGAAAAAGGGAAAAGATTTCCTTCTTTCTTTCACTTACAATTTAAGGACAAAGATCACATAAAGGGTAACAATCAGCTCTCTAAGGTTTATAAAACATTAAAATATGATTCCTCTAGATTTCCTAGGAAAAATTAGGTAAGGATATCTGGATATTTTATTAGAGAAGCTGTGTCCTGGGACTCTAGAGGAAGGAAATTTGAAAAGGAAAGCTGGGAGACAAAACTGAAGATTTTATCTTCAAAACCGGAGCAGATGTCTTAGAGGCTACAGAAGCAGCTGTAAGAGTGCTCCTCTCAGCCAGGTGCGGTGGCTCACGCCTATAATCCCAGCACTTTGGGAGGCCAAGGCAGGAGGATCACAAGGTCAGGAGTTCGAGACCAGCCTGACCAACATGGTGAAATCCCATCTCTACTAAAAATACAAAAATTAGCCAGGCGTGTTGGCGTGCACCTGTAATCCCAGCTACTCAGGAGGCTGAGGCAGGAGAATCACTTGAACCTGAGAGGTGGAGTTTGCAGTGAGCCGAGATCACGCCACTGCACTCCAGCCTGGGTGACAGAGTGAGACTCCATCTTTAAAAAAAAAAAAAAAAAAGTGCTCCTCTTACTTCCCTTCCTTTTCTCCTTGTCTAACCCTATGTGCCACTTTTCAGGCCCACTAGGACAAATCCTACCTTAGATTAACCTTATAGAAGGTTTAAAAAAAAAAAAAGTATACCTCAGTTAGTAGCAACAGGGATGAGGTAGGAAGTGAGCAGAAGCCTCAGAGACAACAGTGATTGGCGGCAACAGCGAGAGATGGGGAGTTCTGTGGCCACTGGGACCTTCTACTGTGACAAGCTTCTGGGGACAAGGCACATGGTACACAAATTTAAACTGCTTATAATTTTCGTCCTATGTTCCAAATTATCCTATTTGCTTTCTTATGTAAGCAGAAAGATAACCATAAATATTCATAAATATATAGTTTTATAAGATGTTATTTTATAAACTTTAAGTTCTGCTCTAGAAAAACTCAAAATAATAAAATTTCAAGTGGAATGAATTAAGTGTAATTTTAAAATATACTGGCCGGGCACAGTGGCTTACACCTGTAATCCCAGCACTTTGTGAGGCTGAGGTAGGAGGAGGATCACTTGAGGCCAGGAGTTCCTCTATAAGGTTAATCTAAGGTAGGTTTGTCCTAGTGGGCCTGAAAAGGTGGCACATAGGGTTAACAAGGAGAAAAGGAGGGAAGTAAGAGGAGCACTTTTTTTTTTTTTTTTTTTTAAAGATGGAGTCTCACTCTGTCACCAGGCTGGAGTGCAGTGGCGTGATCTCGGCTCACTGCAACTCCACTCTTCAGGTTCAAGGATTCTCCTGCCCAGCCTCCTGAGTAGCTGGGCTTACAGGGTGCACCCACACGCCTGGCTATTTTTGTATTTTTAGTGAGATGAGATTTCACCATGTTGGTCAGGCTGGTTCTCCGAAATCGCTGACCTGTGGGTGATCGCTCCTGCCTTTGGCCTCCGCAAGAGAGGTGCTGGGATTATTAGCGTGAGCCACCGCACTGGCTGAGAGGAGCCTCTTACAGCTGCTTCTGTGACTTCTGGAGAGATCTGGTCCGGTTTTGAAGATAAAATCTTCAGGTTTTGTCTTCCAGCTTTCCTTTTCAAAATTTCCTTCTCTAAGTCCCAGGACAAGCTTCAAAAGAGGTATGATATCCTTTACCTAATTTTTCTAGGAATCTAGAGGAATCATGATTTTAATGTTTTATAACCTTAGAGAGCTGATTGTTACCCTTATGTGGATTCTTTGTCGCCTAAATTGTAGTGAAGAAGAGAGGAAATCTTCTCCCTTTTCATTGGGTAGGCAGGTAAAGTATTGATAAAATTCTAAGAGTGTGAACTGCTTTAGGGTAAGATGAGGGGAAACAGTGGTGATATCTTTAAACTTGAGATGGAGACTCTTGGAGGCCTGGAAAGGGGAAACGGAACGGTAATCCTTAGGGCTT